GCTGCTGTGCAGGGCTTTAGTTAAGGTAATTTGAGAATTCTTTTATATTGAAAAGGTATAAAAAATAATCCCCTGAAGTACTTGATTTTCCTTCCACAACATTCCACTGTATCAGCTTACTTCTGCTTTACCTTGTTAGTATTCTGAAGGGCTATGAATGAATTATTACATTTCAGAATGCAAAAAACAGGTCTGGCAGCCCCTGGGGGATACAGAGTAGAACAGAATGGGGCACTGGCTAAGACCCAGGAGAGCTGAGCTCCTTCACAGGCTATGTGATCACAGGGAAGCTGCTCGGCTTGTGGAAGACTGCTTCCCTTCTCACTCTTCCTCTACCTTCTTTGGGGCAGGAAAAGTTCCTCTGCATTCAAACACTGCCCAGCGAAACTGCTGCAGATGTAAAGCAAATCAATAGCTGCAGAATAAAACCATAACTGACCCAAAAAAACCTCAAAACCAACACAGTAAAACAGTAGATGGGGCTGCCTGGGTTGAATTTCCATGCTGAATTTAGCAATTGTTGCATGCAACATCACAGAAGCAAACATGCATTGCTATATGCCCTTGAGAGAGAGCCTGGCAGCACAAAGCCCCATGAAAATAATTCCAGGATCTAGGCTACTTTTTTCCACTAGAGTAACAGTGAGAGGTTACAGCCTCAAACAAAGGTGCCTTACAGTTAACCTCACCTACCAGCAGAGTATAACCAACTCCTTCTGACTAGAATCCACAAGATGATTCTTCTTTTGAACGCACTTCCATAAGAATGTCACTCCCACAACTCCAAGTTGCCAGGGAGTGTGTCTGGGCAGCCCTTGCTGAGAGAAATTACATCAAACATATTGAAATGTCAATGCACAGTACCTTTTATTGCTGCATGGGGACCTCAGAGCAGCTTCCAGTATCTGAAGGAGGCCTACAATGATGCCGGAGAGGGACTCTTCATCAGGAACTGTAGTGGCAGGACAAGGAGTAATGGGTTCAAACTTAAAGGGGGCAGATTTAGGTTGGATATAAGGCAGAAGCTCTTCCCTGTGAGGGTGCTGAGGCGCTGGCACAGAGCGCCCAGAGTAGCTGTGGCTGCCCCATCCCTGGCAGTGGTTAAGGCCAGGTTGGACACAGGGGCTTGGAGCAACCTGCTCTAGTGGAAGGTGTACCTGCCCATGGCAGGGGGCTGGAACTGGATGATTTTAAGGCCCTTTCCAGCCCAAACCATTCTGGGATTCTATGACTGATATGCATCTGTCATACACCGGCTGACGCGGGTATAATTCACTAATTGAGAATTCACTTCTAGGCTTGTGCTGACCTTACAGAATTTGATTCTCAATCCATTCCTCAAGTAGCCAACACTATGGGCATCCATAAAGCATTATTCCATCCTTTCATACCCTAAGGCCACCAAGATTGTCACTCTGGCTCCCACTCTAGGAAGTATCTTCATACATGGGCATAGTTTACTGCTTTAACTGGACATCAAACTCCATATAAAATTGCTGTGCTGAACTCAGAACAAGAAGGTTAAGCATTCAGTCCCTAAGTGAGACGGTACCCATAGAAGCAAGACACAAGGAGATGCCTTGCATATTTGCAAAGCACAAGGGAAGAAGCCCCTTAGACGCAGATGCTGTCTAACAGCCCTCTTTTATGCAGAATGCTTGGAGGCTACTCTATTTTTATAACTTCCATCCATAAAATAAGAAGCTACAGCTTTTGGAAGAAGAACACAATTACCCTACAATGATACAACAGTCAGAATAAATTCAACACAATCTGCATACACAAAACGAAAAGGCATCCAAGCTTCTTTCAATTGGCAGTAGATAATAACTGCCCTATTGTCAACCTTCACAAATGATCTCCAGAGCCATATGCAGGTTGGCAGCCAGGCATAGAGCCTAACTACTTTTTGCATCTAGTTGTACAGAAGTCGAGGCATATGGAAACGAACAGCCTGGCAGAACAAGTGAACTCTGAAGCAATGACTCTGATAAATAAATGCTTGTGAACTGGCAGATGGAGAAAAGCGCAGTAGGGAGGAACTGTATTGCAGCGGCAACTTGATTTTAAACCATTCGTAAAAATCAGCCTGAGCTTGGGCATGGAGGCATTCCCCATTCCTTTAGTCACTGTCAGGGAAAATGCTCACCATAAAAAGAGGGAAGACGAGAACAGAAAGATGTATCCAACAGAAGATACCAGAAAGTGATTCAGGGATCAGAGAACAGGACTGGAAGGTGACTGATCATTTTTGTCTCTTACTACATTGCTAATCATGGTTTTGGTAGCTTTCAGAAAGATACAACCAATCATTACCTGCAATGTAGAAAAGCAAGATGTGGAGAGACATTCTCAAGCTGTATGGCAGATCCTGAAACATGAGCACAGTGGATACATGTACATGGGATACACAGACATTTCCCACACTGAATGGAAACTCATACTTGATGCAATAGCCACCTTCTGTACTCATTCCTCTGGAGACCAGTCTATTTGTAGGCAAATTGAATCTTTCCTATTTGCAGACTGCAGACTGATTCCCAGTCACTGTTAAATGTGACAGATGAGTGGAAAACAAGTGTTACTGCTTCCCTGTTGCTAGCAGGGGACTAGCACGTTTATTCCATTTTTTGTGATGAGGGGACTCCTTGTCTGGTCATCTCAAAGATTATTTTTCCTACCAATTCTGAAACATTTTCTCACATTTTCCTCTAACCCCAACTGACATTACAATCTGAGAGAGCACAAGGGAACAGGCATTCCTGTATCCCATCAGAAAGCACAGTGCGATGCAGGGAATTCTGTGCAATATTTGCATTACTCATACACTGTGTAGTGTGCACAGCCTCATATGCCCCTATCTCTCTCCTCTCTTCACTGACAGCCTCCTTGGCATGGTGTGCAAGTATTCAACACTTGTGGTGCCCTCCTCAAGGATAACAAACCATCCCTACCACTACTGTGCACACTAAAGCAGCAAAATGCAGAACTCCCTGTCAGGTGTGCACTGATTCTCTTAAGCCCGGTACCAACCACTGGAGAAAAAATAAGAGAAGTGAAAGAGACACATGAAGAAATCGAGGAGAAAATAATCCAGACAAACTGTGATAGCCTAGAGTTAAGAGGCCAGCCATACGTACCGGTTACTGCACTTTCCCAAGGAAACAGCCACTTATTGCTGTCCCCTTTATGAGTAGCCAGGTGGACGAGCTTCATGCTATAATGTGAGGCCAAAGCAAAATTAACCTCATCATTACTGTGATGCAAAAGAAGATGAATTTAATTAAACTTCAATAAACTTCACTAAAATTTCTCTCAATATTACCCCACCTTTTGTTATAGACAAACTCCCTTTCTCTTCCTGACACTTCATCAGTTAATATTACATGTATAATCTCACTTCTCTGCACTGCTTGGTTACCCATCATCTCAGAACTCAAATATCTGTAATACTTCATCTTCTCCTCCCACATAACACAGTGATCAAGAAAAGTGGCAGGCAACAATTTTCAAATCATTCTACCCAAATCCAATCCCCACATTACACTGAAACCATTTACAACAGGAATCAGTTTAGAACTTGTTTCACTTTGATAGGAATCACCGTGGGGAAACCATGACCTGCCTTCCCAGACCCTCCCACAGACCTGTCAGCTCTGGAAGCCTCTACTGTTGATCACTAAATCAGCTGCCCACATGAAGTCCACAGCAAAGCAAGTCCAATGAGTCAGTGGCCATATACATGTACAAAGTGAAAATAAAGGTGGGTTATCTTTTCACACACGCCACTGTGTAAACCTATTGTAATAAATATTAACAGCCACTATCAATCAAGAGAATGGAAACAGATGGGAAGGAGGTTGTGTTGAGAGAAAGGACTCAAACAGGAATATGTATTTTCTCCTCCACCTTCCTCAGTCTGATAACAGCCCTAAATAAATCTTTGCACATCCCCAACAGGGTGTTCCAATGTTCCATGCAGCTCTGGCTGCTTTACTACCACAGCACAGCAGAATCACAGATCCTAACACACACACAAAATTCTGCAAAACATCAGAATGTGGGTTTGGGATTCCCCCCACCTCTTTTATGGATCACCCCCTCCACCCAGTATCATTTAATTTACTGCAACCTCCAGGCAGGTTTGACAATGGATCTGGTCCTGGAAAGAAAACAGTCCCTGTTAATAATGACGCTCAACCCTCTCCTCTCCTTGAGCAAAAAGTCAGGGCTCGATGAAAAACTATGTCCCTCTGCAATGCCATGTCTTGTTACTTTTTACAACTGATTGGCAATAACTCGTCCTTAGTACAACACAGAATAGCTGAACGTACCTAAAACACAGATAAACCACTGTGCAAGGATTACATTAGGCCTGCATACATGTTTCACCTCAGCTGAAGCACAGTCTGGATCTAAATGAAAATAGCTTCACTCTTGCTCCCAAAACCCCAGAGGAAAGCAGAGAGCATTATATCATGGCAAGCAAAGCAGGATCCAGCCCTTGAGATTTCCCATTCTGCAGAGAGGAGCGGTATTACACTCCAGTCTCAGCTGTTGTGATAGGTCTTAAACACCTCAGAACCATGATGGTTCCCAGAGGAGTGACACAAAATGAATATTTATCTTCCTGGCAGCATGGGGGCAGACAACTGATGGCATATCAGAATTTAACTGGCAATGCAGATTCAGAAAGGTTGAAAACTACAATCAGGCTAAATCGGTACCTATGAATAGTGAACAGTAGAAGAGACTGAAACATCATTCTGTGCGCAGGCCCAGATGTCTAACAGGGCACTTCTTCCTCCACTTCATCCCTGCAAGGACCCCCTACATGTATTTCAAGACCTACCCAACCTTCCTGGAAGGAAAACCATGCCTGAATACAACCCAGAGACAAAACCAAAACCCCAAACAACGTTTTTGTATCTTCTTTTTGTACGTCATGTTTTCCAGTTAGTTATGTAAAGGACACAAAAAGAACAGCATGAATTACGTACCTTAGCTATTTGGACACACCAGTTTAGCAGCAGCTGGGAGCCAATATTATCCTTATGTTCATGAACATAATCCAACAGGCAGCCGTGAGGCATCAGCTGAGTGACAAGTTGAATGGTCGGGCTCAAGCAGACACCCAGGAGTCTCACCAGGTGTGGGTGGTCCATGCTGGCCATGATAAGAGCTTCCTGCAACAATAAAAGTGATCCAGTTACTCCAGTGTGCTGAAAGGCTCTAACTGTAGGTCATTTCCCATCTCCAACAGAACATCTAAAGGGGATCAGCATCCCCTTGAATATATTTTCCCAGCTTGTGGTCAATCCACCAGGCATCAGGATTTATTTTTTTTGATGCAAGCAAACTATGCCACTTGTCCACTTGCGTATAGCAAAAATGACCACTTAGGCCTAATTTGGCAAGATATTTGATTAAACTGTGCTAAAATGCTTTAGTGGATCACAGATTTTATGCTTAATATTTTATAGGCTTAAGCATGGAACGTTTATATGCCAACTGAAGCTTTCCCAAAGTTCAAATTGCAAAGGGTTAAGAATCAGGAGGTTTAGTGTGAGCTTTTCAAATATGTCTGATGCTCATAAGTCCTATTGAAAGTCAGCAGATCTGTTAAGCCCTCAGATATGACCATTTACCATCTCTATGACTGTTGTACAGCAACAGCCTAAACTAGCGGATGTGATGGTGCAATAGTAGCCCAGTGGCAGTAGCAGTCCTACCTGTCTCCTGTTGCCACAAGTAGACTACTACAGAAAGCAGAAGCTTTCTAATCTGAGCCTCTTAGCTCAGCTCCTCACTCTTCCAAAGTCTTCTCCCAATAGATGAGTTATTTCTCATTTTACCATACTTCAAGTTCCCACAGAGCAAATGGGAAATAATATTCCTTTCTTTCTTCTACACTTTATTTCCCAGATCGTAAGTTTTCAGAGGTTTCCAGCTAGCGAGCTAGCTGTCCAATACCAAGGACCAGTGGACTTCAGCTTGGCTATGCTATTTGGCCCTGAAGTTCACATCAGTGACAAAGAGCACAGGAGCACTCTATAACAAACCCTGCATAACTGTTCTTGGAGGTAATGTTGCCATTTCAAACAACTGGCATTCAAAAAAGGCAGAGAGAAAGCTTTTCCCTCTTTCACCGAGTCCTCCATTTCAAGACCACTTCATCATGCCAATGGAACAATGAAAACTGAGATGAAACTGCGGCTTTGTAAAGTTATTTTGGTTCTCTTTCTCTCTTTAAACCCCCCATACGACAGCTTTCTGACAACTTAAAAGAATAACAGCTGTAATAGTGCCAATGGAAGAAAAAAAAGGATGAGAAAAAGTTGGCATCAGAGGAACATAGCATACCCCCAACTCATCGAAGTTTGGGGGTTATTTCCTTCCCTATATTAAGGCAAAAAAAAAAGTCCTGGCAAGTAGGCTGAGTTTGTATTAAAGGAAATTGCTCATCATAGTACAAAGAATATTTGAAACCAAATTGCAGAGTATTTGCATAATAGTTCTCTCTTTCTTTCCCTCTCTATTTTTTTTTGTTAAAATGAAAAGATGAAGAAGACACTAATTGTAGGGTTCCCCCCCCCCCCCCCGCAATAAGAAAAGAGCAGATGGCCTCCACTGGGGGAGCATCTCCTTCCTTTTTCTTCCTAAATGTATGTGAAGGAATAAAATCAATAAATGAATAAAGAGGGGCTATTTGATGGGATGACTGGAGGAGGAGCTCCGAGGAAGATTCCAAGCAACAAATCAGAAAACGGATCCGAATTCCAGTAGCCTTATGTTCTAATTACTACAGTTTTTGCTCATTCACCTCACATGTGCAGGGTCTCCTTGAAACAATTTTAGCCTCTCTCGGGCTGTCACTAGAAAATGTCATTGGAGGCCACCAGAATAAATACCTGTTGACACCTGCATTATCCAATTTCAGAGCGCAAAATTACTCTGCCTTCTGCTTGCTTTTTATCCCACGTGTTTTTCCTCGCGCACATGCAAAAGGGAACAGTACTGTTGCCCTTTCCCTCTCCGAGTAAAAGTAAGACTTCCTCCAGGAACTCAGAGCAGGAGGGCTTTTCTCTATAATGAGATTGATCAGAATATAGACCAGATGGAAAGCTTTGCAGCACGTGCTCCATTAGTCTCCAGCTATTTACTATTTACAAGTCTGAGTCCAAAGGAAAGACGCTTCTGTACAATAACAAAAGCAATCAGTGCCATTTGCCTCATGCTGCTGTTAACAGGAAAGCACATATTCTTCTAATAGTTTTGGGCAATGGTTCCAGAAAATACTAAAAATGTTGTTAATATTATGGACTACTCTGTAATGAATTGAGATACACAACAGAGAATAAGGAAGCTTTCATTAGAGATCTAAGTCACTAATGGATACTAATTTAGCATGAATCCTGGCTTCATACAGTTATTCTCATTAGTAATAAGTATTGTTACTTTTATTGCACTTGCATCTACAGGAGAACCAAATGCAGGGGTATGTCTATCCGGCCTGGCACAGACACAAAGTAAAAGAGATTGCAATTGTTCTGCTAGAGACCAATTACACAAACCAGACAAACAACAGCAACAGAAACATTGTGACTTAGCAGCAGTTCAAAAATCTCTTCGGCACATACAAACACGAGTCCCCATTTAAAGCTCTAGTTGGACACAAAAGACCCTGGAGCTCCAGTCTCCATGGCACTCGGGCAAAATGATGGCCTGGTTCCCAATTACGTTTTGTAGAACATTTAATCAGGTAAGGCACCAAAACTCACAGACGTGGCTCTCTGACACTGGCATCCTTCAAAACCAGCCTCTGCAATTCCCCACATCTTTTGGGAGCCTCACAGCTGCAGAACTTGTCTCTATTGGCACAAATACGCAGGTGATTTTGACATTGTGCTTATTCTGATTTAGTGGAGAGGAAACTGAGGTACAGAAAAGCACAACCTACTATCCACAGTCACACAGGAAGTCTCAAGCAGAGGTAGGAACTGTGCCCCAAATCGCTTCATCTTTCTCTCCAGTCATTTGAAGGTTGAAATAAGAAAGGGAAGGAGGACAGAGAAATGATTAAGATATGGTATTTTCCCTTTCCCTCAGAAGACTTTGTAACATCATGTCCTCATACTAGCACCTGAGAAAGGACAGGAGTGGTGACAGTTTTGAAAGGCTCCTGTTGGACATCAGACACTTTCCTTTATTGATCTGCAGCAGCAACAAGTCTTATCACAAGAGTAACTCACCAGCCAAACCAAATCTCTTCCTGGAGTTTCTTTATGCTGTTGCTACTCAGGTATTTAATATCACAGCAGTGTGTGGCAGCCATACACAGGGCAGCTATAAACCAGCCAGCTTAGGCACAGGTAGCAACTGCAGACCTCAGCTTGCCCTTACCTCTAGGACGTATTTTGCAGTCTACGGTGAACCTTGACCAGCTGAGGCTAGGATACTACAAGATCTCAAATGAGTTACTTAAAACCAAGGCTGCATATGTATATTCTATACACAGCAGTGCTTATGGTGTTAATTTCCTAGCAGAAGGCTGGTAAAGAAAGGCCTTGATGTGGAAGGCAGCTAATCCCACAGGTAGCTTGGCAGGGCCATTGCTGTGTCCTACCAGCCTCACCACAGAGAGAATAGTAAGTGACTTCAATTGAACTTCCCATGTTCAACTCAGTATTCTACTTCTCAGACATGCCATTTTGAATACAGAAATCATGTCACATTGATCATTCCTCTTTGCTGTCCCTTTTGAGTGCAGCTGAGTTATTGCCACGTTAAGCTCAACTCCCGTGATTTATATACACAACCCTACATTAAACAAGACATAAATGTTATTTCAATGCTTTACGCTGATCCATCGTGTGCATTTAGTAACGCAGTAGCATACTCAAGAAGAAGGGGGACTTCACAGATTCCATTCAGACATCACCAGACCTGAGACTCTGATTTCTGTCAGCACAGCTATGTCAATGCGGGTCTGAGGAGGTGCACCTGCTATCCCCACAGCAAGAGGCCAGAAGAAGCCCTCAGACTGCCAAAACATGCTTAGACAGGTAGAGCTCAGTTAACTCATGAGAGCTGTCTGCCACTATGATGATACAATGCAGGGTTACATCTAGCTAAAAGCACTTGCAACACAGATCACAAAGGGAACTAGCCACTCGCTTCTCACAGGTCACTTAAGTCGCCTTCATTCCTTAAATAGCTTTGAATATCCTGCCTAACACTGTTTCCTGATTTACCTATAATCTGCAGTCATGTTTGAAATATCTTTAATTCAACTGCTAATTCTGAAAAGTAACTCAAAACTCCAACTAAAGCAGGATTTTCATTTCAGCCTTCCAGGGTGAGGAAGAAAAACCAGTTCTTAAGACTAAGAAAGAAAGGGTGCTCTGAGTAACACCTGCAGCACACCTTTTAAGATAATATTTAACTTCCTCCTTTCCTACCTTGATGTGTTATTGCTGACAATTATAATTGACAGCTGAACATAAATATTAGCCAGCATGATCACAGAATCATAGAATGGTCTAGTGTGAAGCATCCTTGCTCATGGAAGCAGATTGGAACTGGATGATCTTAAGGTCCTTGCCAAACCAAACCAGTCTGTGATTATATGCTAGAGGTAACTCTGAGACCCCTGAGGTCTTGGAACCAGGCAGATCTAACAGTGGGCCATCACCCTGCTGAGTCCACAACCATGCTCCAAAGAAAATCTGAGCATCAATACAGATCAAGATGCCTCCAAAGGCTCTAAACACGTTTAACAGGTTGTGTCATTAAGAGTCCTGCCCTGTGTGGTGGATCCCAGCAGCTTCTAATGCAGGGCTTGGTAACCTCATCTTCTTGATGCTGAACACTTCACTTAGCAAAAGAATTAGCATTTGAAGCAATACTGATGATGCCCTTATATCAGATTTAAATATCTGGCAGACAGGAGAAGATATTCCTTCTGAAGACTTGTTCTTTAACACTTGAGCTTCCTGAGCACCCATGACCATACAACACAGAGCACCAGGAGAAGCTAACTTACAGGTAGCCAATGTTCCCTTTTAGTGTTCTACATACATGTGCTATCCTGCAGAGCAAGTGCAGGAGAAACATCACAGACCTGCTGCCCCAATTCAGCAAGCCCAGGGTCAATGTCACTGCTCCAAATGAACATACGTAACCA